TTGTGTACAATTGTTTTACAAAGAATTCATCTAACATAGCAACTGTAACAAACAATAAAGATTTGTTTAAAGGAGTTGTGTGTAATAAAATGCTTCTATGGATTTTATATGATTTTTGTACAGTAAAGAAGTGGTGAGTCATGAAATCCTATTTGCATTACTCATTTTGTGTTGTGAAGTTTTTACTGTGATTAAGCCATTTTGTCATTGCCAAAATGATAGGTAAAAATCTTATTTGCCTTTTACTTCCTATCTAGCAAGAAACAGCAATTGTAGCTTGAGAGACAGATTGTATTTACTTGTATTCTTTTGAAAAAAATTAAGATTTAAATTTGTTTTCAGGGCAGGATTCAAAAAATATATATCAAATTATACCTCTATATGCTACAAGGATAAACACTTATTAAATAAAATTGAAATTTCTGAAAGGGTGCATGTTTCCTCCTTCGCCACTGGTTGTCTGTGCATGTTTCAGATAATCGGATAAGAATTTGCATTGATTAAATTCTGAATTCAGCATCAAAATATCCTTTCCTTTGTTCTTCTTTAAAATTTGCATCATGAATCATTTGCATTTAAATACCTTTTTAGATGTTTTTTTTACCAGTCTCCATAACTATTTGAATGATCCCTAAAAGATAAAATCTCATCAAAATGTGCATTTGTTGCTTACAAGCCTGCTTAATTACTTTGAATCTGCAATTAAAATTTCAAAACAAAAATAAAAATCCCAAATCTGTAGAAATGAAAATCGTATGTCCAATTTGGGGTTTAGCTTGCATCTTACTTTGAATGACTAGTTGCTTTTCTTGAATAAGACACCTCTCTTTACAATAGACTCCACACACACAAAATTAAGAAAGCATAGCCTCTCAGCTTTCTGAAATTCACCGTTTGGCCACCATTTCTCTCCTATTGACACTTTATCATCCATTTACTGCACAGCAAATGGAGTTGAGGTCAGAGAAGAAAGCAAAATTATTACCTTTTCATTAGAAAAAATTGTATTAAATTGTCTAGTTTTTCTTTAAAAGGTTGGGATTTTACAATGGAAGACTAAAACTATCCATACAGATTAACTGGTCACTTCTTTGTGTCTCTGATGAATCCTCAGTCATATTTGTTTAAGCATCAACTCCAGCATTCTCTCTTCCTGAAAGTAGAAGGAATACAGAGCCCATAGGAAATGTCTATGATATATTGAAAATCCATATTATAATGAAATGATTGTCAGAACCTACACACTATAGTTTTGCTACAAAGGAATATTATAGAAAGTTCAAAAAGCATTTCTGTATGACGAACTTATGGCTAATCACAATATTTATTAGACATTAGCAAAACAGAGTCACTTTCACATGGGTTAAGCATCTTAAGCCGTCAGCTAGTGTGATTGTCAATATTTCCTGAACAAGGACTTGCTGTTAGGCTTTGTTTTGCTCAGCCCTAAGAAGCTGAGCACTACACACTATTTCCTTAGTTTCCTAGAGCTCTTCCTACATTACTGGAGGTCAGAGATCAGCTCCCTCTGAGCTGTTGCCCTCTCTTGGGTCCAGCGCAAGTCCTATGATTGCTTCTGTCCAGCTGGCATCCTGATTTATAGGCTTCCCTCTTCTCAAATCAGCTGCCCTGTTCCATTTGCAGGATGCCACTTTGTTCTGTCTCTGATTTAAGTCAGCTTGGCATGGCTCAAAGGCTATTCCATAATCTCTCAGGAAATCTTGACCATAGGGGAGGGAAAAAAAAATCCCCACAAAACTTTTTTTTTTTTTTTTTTTGGCAGAGAAAAATGAAAAGTACTTTCCTCCAGGAATCAAAACAAACTCATTCTCACATGCTTTTTTCCCTCTTATTTTAGTTTTCCTACAGCTAAAATGTCACCACATCGGCAGTACTTGACCAGAGCCACTGAACGTTCTAGTGAAAAGCTTCCATGGACTCTTTGATATTTCAAACTCCATATCAGCTTGTTTTTACCTCAGAATGGAAGAGGCTTCTCCACAGTCTCTGTACTCAGTTTAACCTTTGTGATGAAGGATTAGACGGTGTGAACATGGCTTAAAGAAACATTTCCAAGAGCCTTTCCTCATTCCCTGTTGGAATTTATAGGAAGGAGATAACGGGATACATAATACACAAGGGTGTTAATCACATTTTTTGTGTGTAAGAAAAATGATCAGAATATCCTTATCCAGTGTAGGACTAGGCAAACATCAGAGGAAGGATGCAAATTTGCATTTGAAGAAGTAGAAAGGCATCAGTGATGTATTATTATACTTAAACAGTTTTAAAATGTAGATTATAAATTAAATTAAAAGTCTTGAGATTTTATACATCAGTATACTGGTGATACTTTTGCTAGGTGATAAGATTTTAGACCTATATTATATAATAACTTACATTGTCCCTATGTGGCTACTCCATTTTATCTGAAAATTAATAAGATTAAATAAAATTTACAAGTCAGTTTGGGGGATGGGGATCTGAACAAGATGGGTAGGTGTTTAAAATGACGAAGATTCAATAAACCTATGAACGAATTCCCCAAGGTGAATGTATTATGTGTTGCAAGCACATACTAATAGAAAGATTAGCCAAAAAGAGAAAAATATAAGCAACTTAAAAAAATTCTGTTTCTTACTTGCATTGTCCCATTTCAAGTCCCCAGTAACCACACAAGTGTAGCAGCTGCTGCAGTGGACAACACAGTTGGGGACATTTCCTTTATTGCAGACAGATCTGAGCAGAACTGGTTCAGATGATGTATACTTACTGTCTGCTCTATTGTCTCCTTTAACTTTTTATTATGATTACACATTAATTTGTAATCAAAATATTAATGAAATTATTTTCACCAGGGCAAGCTTCTGTGCTCTCAAAATAAATTTAGACAGAAGGAAACCCACTGCAACTTTACCTCATCAACATTTGTCATGCTTGAACCTCTACATTGGAGTTATTGAATGTTTTCTCTTTTAATGAAGAGCTTCTCTGAAATTTGTTCATTTAGCTTCCTAAAATGCAGACTTGTTCAGTTACTCCAAGAGTTTGTTCCTGTAGTCTCATCATCTCATCATCTCTGCCAGAAGTAGGAAGGAAATCACCTACTTGGTGCTATAGTTTGTATCTTCAGTATCTCTCTGTGGTTTACGTGTTAAAGGTTTAATCCCCAACTTGGAGCTGCTGTGAGGTGGGAGAAACTTGAAAAGCTTGGGTTAAGAGAGAAGTTTTCCAGTCACTGTGGGTGTGTTTTTGAAAGAGAACCCCAGGCTCTTTTTCTCTCTCTTTCTTTAGCTGGTTTCAGTGTGAGGTAAACAGGCTTTGCTCTTCCACATGCATTCCGTGATTGTCTGCTGTCTCTCTGCAAGACCCTAAAACAATCTGGCCATCTGACTCTGGACTGAAATATCTAAAACTGTGAAGCGAATTAAACCTTTTCACTTTACAAATTGTTTATCTCAGGCACCTGTTACACTAATGGGAAGTTAACACATTTGGAAATCTTTATGATTTTGTGCATTGAGAAATGGCCAGTGGAGTAGGGGAAATGGTAGCTGAACTATGTTTTAGAACTTTTAGGACATTTATTAAATATCATATTCTAAATCAAAAGCTACGTATTGAAAGCACTGGACTTCCATCTCTGTCTCTGTCACTCTCTCTGTCTCTGTCACTCTATTTTTCATCTATCTGTTTATCTATTACCTATCTATCTCTCTATCATCTATCCATCTGCAGTATTCTCCCCACTATCCAAGCATTTGCTTTCGGTTGTCTATCTAGTACATGGAATTGTCCACAGATAAGCACCCATGAGCTTTAAATTGCATGCCTTTCTGGGGAATATGATAAACCCTGTGCTGTTTTGCTCCAGCTCGTCCAGGGTTCCTTTGTCCAGTGCACTCATGACGTGTCTAGCCCCTTAACTGCTGGCAGCTGTTATTGCACTGTTGAAGTAGTGCAGAGCCGCCATTCAAGTGACCCTTATTTTACTTAATAATGACCCCCCCCCGTATGCAAGAGTAATGATGCTGGCAATTCAGAACAGGCAAAGAGAAGCCAGATGGGGCATCTGTCATGAGAAAGATGAGCACTGTCCAATATGATGGGTAGAAACCCCATCCACCATGTATCATATTATCATAAATACTCCATTATTATTGTTAATGTTATACTGTGTCTATTTTAAAATTAAACTTTATGATAGTTATCTGGAGATAGGAAAAAACACCATGATTTAGGTTTAGCATTATTCCTCAGGCATCCACTGAGATCTTGGAATAGATTCTCCATGGTTGAAGGGGAACTGACTTATCTGCCATCTGTCTACCTACTCTCTGTCTGCTTACCTATCAATCAAAGCCTATTTACCCACCTATCTGTCCTTTATTTTGATCTTCATCTGAGTTTTGACTTTTAAATACTTAGCTTTTAAAATTAAAAATTTAAAAAATTGTTAAAAACATGAATCTTGCTTCTCTTAAAAAAGCAGCTGTTGTAAAATTTCATCTAGATTTTTGCAGGGAAGCCTAGTGGGATCTGAGGAAGAATCTTTGCCTTCAGCTAAGGTAGCGCTTTGTGTTTACTGAAATGTTACAGCTGCCAGTATTCTCCAGGTTCCTACAGTGGAGCTTGTGCAAACATTTTCAAGTCTGTCACCCAGCCCAGCCATTTGGGTTTAACTGCTCTCTACTTTAAGAATGGCCAGCACTACTGGGATAGATGTGAGATTGTCCAAGGAACAAAGTGACTTGACACAAGAGAAATCAGGTGTCAATAATCCTACTTCACCTCAGTTTGGATTAATTAATACTTCCCCACTGTGTCTACAAACTTCTGACAAGTGACAGACTCTGTGGACATTAATCAGGGCAGTTCTTGTTACTACACTACATAGCATACACAGTAAAGGGCATTAGTTAAACCTTAATGTGCAAAGGAGCCACCAACCAAGTGTCAGCATCCTCAACAGTGTGACATACAATCAAGTGAGTTTAATGTCAATCGATTTCTGCACTTTTTTGAAAACTGCTAATCAAAGGGATTTCTAATCAGACGTGTGTGAAACTGCGTGGATCTTGTAGGACTCACCCTTATCTGAAAGGGAGGGAGGCCAATATTCACACAGGGCTTTAAAAGAAATTCTCTCCAGGTGATTCTAAAGAAGGCAGAATGCTTTGTGCCACCATTTTTAGAGAAGTCAGTTGACTCTTCCAAAGCAATTACTCTACGGGGTAATACTCATCTACTGTCTTAGATGCGGTATTTGTTTTGTGGCTGGTACTTTCTGAAAGTTATTGCTTATTGGACATGGTTCATTCTTCATCCATGCAAATATAAAGCAAAATGAGATGTGTTGTAGAGAACATGTGTGTGAACAAGGAATTACTTCTCTAAGGTAAAAAAAATCTCCAAAAATATTTTAAGGGGACTGTGTAGAATATCTTGGACATACCCATTTCTCTTTCCTTTTGTATCTCAGTAATTGAAAAGCCCAAACTGCTTTGTCTTATAAATAATTCCTACAGCCCTGTGGGTGTAATTCTACATTAACTGAAGAGTAATTTTTTGGGACGGGTACAGGGGATCAAACCTATGACCTCACGCTTTCCAGGCAGATGCTTATGCCACTGGGCTAAACTCCCTGACCAACTGAAGAGTAATTTCATATTAAAATGGGAAAGGTGCCTTACAGATAAAGGTAAGACCACTGTGGGGTGGGAAAGCCCCTCTAAGATTGGAAATATAACCCTCTCAATATTTTAGGTATTATTTATCCTCTTTCTCTTTCTTCCTTTTTGCTGCAACGAGGATTGAATCAAGGGCTTCTGCAGCGGGCTACATTTCCAGCCCTTTTATTATCTTGAAACAGCGACTCTCTAAATCGCACAGGCAGGATGAAGGAACTTTGATCCGTCTCCTCAGCCTCCCAGAGTGCTGTGACCATAGGCATGCAGCACCAAACCCTTGTACGCATTATCCTTTTTAAAAGCTAAATATATCTTTCATTTTTTGAGTGGACAAAACTAATCTGAATCGAATCGTCTTTTTGAGTACTTCAGAGAAATTTTCAAGCAAACCAGTATAACTATCTTCATTTCAGAAATGGAAAAATCCAAATCCAAAGCAAAGCAAAGCACAGCACAGCACAGCACAGCACACCACACCACACCAATCCACACCAAACCACACCAAACCAAACCAAACCAAACCAAACCGAGCCAAAGTAAGCCAAACCAAACCAAGCCAAGCCAAGCCAAAGAACAGACAGAAGCGCGCGCACCGGGAGGGAGGTGAGCTGTGGAAGCCCCAGCGCGGGCGCCTGGGAAGCGCTTGGCTCTGCGCTTGCTTCTGGTTTCCTGACTCCGCAGGCGCTGCAGCCCCTCCGAAAGGAGCAAAGCAGGAGACGCCCGAACTTCGGGAAGGCAGCGCTGCGCAGCTCGGGGAAGGACCCTGGGAGGCTGCGGCTTCCGGGGCTGAGGCGCTCGGAGCCGGGTGCGCGGTAGCCCGGGGCGCTAGGGCTGGGACGCAGCGCTCGGTCCGGAGGGGTCCGGGAGGCGGCTGAGGACGGGAGAGAGGGCGGGACAGAGGGAGGGAGCTAGGCTGAGCCCCGGTCTTATTTGAGGACCCTGCCCTCCTCTCCCTCTCCAGTTTTTGCGCGCTCCGGGTCTGGACCCGCAGACGCCTACAAAGGGAGCGCGCAGCACCGGGTCCACACGGGCTCCGCTCCGGGGCGGCGGACAGCACTGACCTCCGCTCGGTCCAAGCGGCGAGGACGAGGTAGGCGCAGGCGGCCGGCGCGGAATAGGTTGGGGTGGGGGCGCCCCGTCTCCGACCTGACGCCCCGAGGTGCTGGGAAGGGGCGCGAGATGCTGAATCGGTGGAAGGCGGACGCGGGGAGCAGCCCACTCCACGTTGGTTAGAATTTCCCTCTCCGCGGAGGATGCGCCAGCACCCCCAGCCACTTCTTCCTGTGCCTCCCGCTGAGAACTGAGACACCTGTCCAAGGTGTAAGGTCTTATTTCTGGGACAGACAGCTCCTGTCTAATCTCGCAGTGTCCGCCCAGGGCCGCCCACTGGTAGGAATGTGTGGTGAGAGGAAGAGGTGACAGCAGATGCTTTACGACTCTTTGAAAGGGACCCATCCTTTAAAACTCTGTGAGATGAGGAAGACTAGGTCAGACACTCTCAGCCGCTCTACTTGGACAAAGGGTGGGGTCCTGTTATTGAAAGTTTACTTTTCCCGTTGCCCAGGCCGAGAAGCAAAGGCAGCTAAAATGTGTGTGGCGTGGTTTCTGGGATTTTTCCATGGGAAGAGATTTCTGGAAGATGTTGTGTCTGATAAGATTTCAAGCTTTAACGACAAGCTGGGGCAGTACTGCTGCTGGTTCGTTCAGAAAACTGCTTAGTTATAAATCTATAGTCAATGCACGAATCAGTCTCTGACACAGTTGAAATACTTTGAATCCTTGGGAGTGGGGAGAGGAACCCTGAATTCCACTTTCACAAAGAAAGGTTTCTGAAACAAAATCTGTAAGTATATTTTTTTAAAAAAATTGTACCATTCGTAGGTTCCCTTAAAGTTTTTGGGAATATTGAAATGCCTCTTTTTGCCTTATTTATAGAGTTTTTCCTTCGTCCGCTTATCGTTTAATTTTTGTGCTTCTGAGTTTCTAACATGACAACTTCTGCACTCTTTGTTCCCTCGCATTTTTCCAGAAGGACTGCCACAAGGTGATAGTCTGTGCTCTGCGTGACTTTGACCTGACTGAGGGCCAGTGATGTGTTTAAGAACAGCTGTAGTGTCCACCTGCTAATAGCTTATAGATAAATAGCCACCCCTGCAGAGAAGTTGTAAATAAAAGAACTCCAAACAACAACCACAAAAAAAGGACTCAAAAGAAACAACAAAATACACCAATAAATCAAATAAACTTCTCTTCCTGGTATCATTCAGCATCATTCAATTTCATGGTTGTTCTCAGTGTAGTCTGATACATCTGCCAAATACTGACCTTCGGAGTCTTATTAATTGTATCAATGACTTGTCTGGATTGACTGTGCTCTATAAAGCCAGTCTCTTTCTTAGTCTAAGGGAAATGGTACAGCCTATTAATATAACTCAAATTATCAAATATAATTTGAATGATTTGCTTCCATTTTGTCTAATTATTAAGGAATGGAGGCCAATGGAAAAGAGCACAGTCTCCTTGGAACATTATATTTGAAACACAGTAAATACATGGAAACCTTTAAGTCCCTCTGGGAAGTAAAGCTCTTTCAGTGGGGAATGGGGAGGGAGAAGGAAGAGAGAGAGGGAGAGAGGAAGGGAGGAAAGGGAAAGATAGAGAGAGATGCTGGAGGGGAGGAATAGAAAGGGAATAGGCATAGAAGATAATGCCATAGCAAGGAATCGTGCATAGGTAATTATCTTCAGCTAAGGAAAGCGTGAAATTATACTTTAAATAACTGGCATCAATTTTTAGTAAACTTGTTCTTTCCTTTTTTTTTTTTTTTTGGGTACCAGGGATTGAACTCATGACCTCATGCATGCCAGGTAGGGGTTTACACTTCTGACTGGACTCCCTGGACCTGCGCTTTGCTTTAACTTCATGCTTGTTTTGCCAAGTTATTCAGTGGCTTCAGTGTACCAGATGGTGTGATGGGATGAGACCGTGGATGAGGAAGACTCTGTTTCTGTGTTAGGGATTTCTCCTGGCGGGGGAAGGAAGGAAAGCAATGCAGTGTCCTGTGTGCAGTTTTAGGAGCGCACATGGGTGGAACTGCAGGGGTAACTGAGGTCTCTCCCAGTTCAGCATGAGGGATTCAGAGAGATGGAGAGTGGCTGGGATGCTCAGTCACGGGGGAACAATGCAGAATGGCCCCATGTAAGTTACTTGGGGTGTCTGGTGAGAGGAGGCCTGAGGGGTATCAGGGATGATGTCAGACTATGAACACCCTGCTGAAGGGCTGGTGGTTTCTTCTGTAGACCACTGTTATCATCCTGCGTGAGTCCAGAGCCTTCTGTGGGAAAGCAAATTAATGGATGTGTTCTGTCAACAGACCATGCAAAACCAAATATATTCAAAAACCTAAGGGTAGGACATACAGAGACTTGGTTATACTAATGATAGAAGCCTTGGGGACGCTGGGAGCTACTCAAAGATTAGCAAGAGAAGACACTGTCTCTCGCTGGAGGGACACAGAGAGGAGGCAGTGTGATCCAGGCCCAGGAGCCAGGAGGTGGAATCACTGCAGGTCTGGCCCATGGGGACCAGAGCCACAGAGGAGCAGTGGGGGCAACGTCCAAAGCAGGAGGAAGAGAAAGACTGCAGAGGTGTCGTCCTGCCCCTGCCCAAGGGGTGTTTGCCAAACAGAATCCCAAGGACTTGGGAGCCTGCAGATGTCTCTGTGAGGCTCAGTCCTCCTGTGTTACCCAACAAAACAGAGCAGGGAATGGTGGCACAAGGGTTCATCCAGGCATTGTCTGTGGGCTGAATCATCGTGATTCACTAAACAATAGCAGTAGATGCTATTATGATTAATAACAGATTCACCACGAGAGGTTTTGAATTAATGACAGCAGCCTTTGGTGGTAATGAATATATTCACCAGGTATTAGCACTAGGACGATGGGTCTGAATGTTTTCACAAACATAAAAAAGGAATCCTACAGCAGAAACTAATATAGTGTTTTAAACAACCCGTATATATTGGAAAAAACAGTTCAGTCTGCAAAACCACTTAATGGTGGAGGAAACTCTGTCCAGTGAGATGTAAAACTTAGAGTGGAGATACTGTACTGCAGTCCTTCCACAGTACAAGTCCTTTTTTTTCTTTTTTTTTTTTTTTTTTTTGTCTTTTTCCTTTTTATCGGTATCAGGGATCGAACTCACGACTGCCTGCTTGCAAGGTAGGTGCTTATGCCGCTGAGCTAAACCCCCAGCCCCCACAATACAAGTCCTGGCTCATAGTGTAGGTTGCTGAATGTTTGCTTGTGCTCTTTATGGTGAATTTGTGCCTGGCTTTACTGTTTATTTGTGAGGTGAATGAATGAATAGATTGATGAATGAAAGCAAAAGAGCATGAGAAATAAATCATAAGACTGGGTAATTTTTATAAAAAGTTGAGAGGAGGGGCTGGGGATTTAGCTCAGCGGCGTAAGCGCCTGCCTTCCAAGCAGGCAGTCGTGAGTTCGGTCCCTGGTACCAATAAAAAGGAAAAAGACAAAAAAAAAAAAAAAAAAAAAAAAAAGTTGAGAGGAGTAGAACTGATATGATAGAAACAGGTGATGAGATAGGTGAAAGACATGTGCAAGAGATAAATCTGAAGTTTCCCTCAAATTTGGGGACTTAAAGGGATGAAAAAGCCTAGCTTGGCTCTTGTTTTTTTCCAACTTTGGGTGGTTATCATAGTTACTTTTCTCTTGTTGCTGAGATAAAGTACCCAACACTCAGAATTAAGGAAGGAAAGGTTTATTTAGCTCACAGTTTGTGGAGGTTTTGGTCCATAATCAGCTGGCTCTAAAGCAGGGTGACATAGCACAGGGGCAACACTTCAAGGTGGAAAAAGACAGCAAGAGCAAAAGGGAGAGCAAGCCTCTTTTCTTCCCTTATGGTGTATGCAGGCTACCTGCCCTAGGGTCGGTATGTCACTGTCACCATCTCAGTACCCTCCTCTTGCACAGGATGAGGATGTTTACAAAGTGCTGAGTCAGTTAACCTTTGGGACTTCTCAAGTTGATGCAATGTATCAACCATTACAGTGGTTTAATCAATAAGAATAATATTGACTGAATCAGGTCACATGGAAAGAGAAGAAGCTGGGGATGGATGGGAAACAGATGAGGAACTTAGATGCTAAAAGTTTTATATCCAAGGCCCAGAGGAAGATGGAGTTCAGACTTGGTGTATTTTTCATATACAAAAGGACTCTGCTGTGTGTTATATGGGAAGTTTATTCCAAATGATTCAAATGAGCAACTGTTCTAGATAGGCTGGGTAGCTGTTTTTTTTTAATACCAACTGGTAGGGTTGAAAAAAATGACCATGAAACAGAACCTGCTCAGTCTGCCATATTTTAGACTCTCGAAGATAGGGCACCAGACACAGCTTTTAAGACATTTTTCCTATATAATTTGTTGCTGTCTACTTATAAATTAAGTAAAATAGTTATGGTAGTAAAGAAACTTCCCTTTCTTTCCTTAAAATTAATTTGTTGAATCTAAAGCAATTATAAAATTGGTAACGCTGTGATACTCATTCTTTTAAATGAATGGGATCTATTTGATAGCTCTCATATTGGAATTTTTTCTTTACTGCAGTAAAAAACCCTACATTTTATCATCTTTATACACATTTTTAAAGACTAGGTTTAATTTACCCATGTTTGTGAATAGACTTTTTTTTTTTTGGTTCCAGGGATTGAACTCATGATCTTGCACTTGCCAGGCGGGTGCTTATGCTGCTGAGCTAATCCCCCAACCCATGTGATTAGACTTCTAAAGACTTACTATATCAAAATATTATACCATATGCAATCTTACAGATCAGAGGACTGGTAAATTGAGGCACATTATATCAACCATTAAATCACTCTCCTTGGGTCTTTTCTTTTTCCTACCCTTCTTCCTTGCTTATTTCATATTTGTTCTTTTTATTTTAAATTATAGGTTCTTATACTAGCTGTGGTCCAAGTGGAACTGTACTGGAAATGGGCCCCATAGGCACAGAGGCTGATGAGAACCAGACAGTGGAAGAAATAAAGGTGGAACCATACGGGCCAGGGCATACCACTCCCAGGGGAGAGCTGGCCCCTGACCCCGAGCCTGAGCTGATCGACAGCACCAAGCTGACGGAGGTGCGGGTCGTCCTCATCTTGGCCTATTGCTCCATCATCTTGCTGGGAGTGGTCGGCAACTCCTTGGTGATCCACGTGGTAATCAAATTCAAGAGCATGCGCACAGTTACCAACTTCTTCATCGCCAACCTGGCTGTGGCGGATCTTCTGGTGAACACTCTATGCTTGCCATTCACGCTCACCTACACCTTAATGGGGGAGTGGAAAATGGGTCCTGTCCTCTGCCACCTGGTCCCCTATGCCCAGGGTCTGGCAGTACAAGTGTCCACGGTCACCTTGACGGTGATTGCTCTGGACCGGCATCGGTGCATTGTCTACCACCTGGACAGCAAGATCTCCAAGCAAAACAGCTTCCTGATCATTGGCTTGGCCTGGGGCATCAGCGCCCTGCTGGCAAGTCCCCTGGCCATCTTCCGAGAATACTCGCTGATTGAGATTATTCCAGACTTTGAGATCGTGGCCTGTACCGAGAAGTGGCCAGGGGAAGAGAAGAGCATCTACGGCACTGTCTACAGCCTTTCCTCCTTGTTGATCCTGTATGTTTTGCCGCTGGGCATCATCTCTGTTTCCTATGTCCGGATCTGGAGTAAACTGAAGAACCACGTCAGCCCTGGAGCTGCGAATGACCACTACCACCAGCGGAGGCAGAAAACCACCAAGATGCTGGTGTTCGTGGTGGTGGTGTTCGCAGTCAGCTGGCTGCCCCTCCACGCCTTCCAGCTTGCTGTGGACATTGACAGCCAGGTGCTGGACCTGAAGGAGTACAAACTCATCTTCACAGTGTTCCACATCATCGCCATGTGCTCCACCTTCGCCAATCCCCTGCTGTACGGCTGGATGAACAGCAACTACCGCAAGGCTTTCCTCTCGGCCTTTCGCTGCCAGCAGAGGCTGGATGCTATTCAGTCGGAGGTGTGTGTGACCGGCAAGGCTAAAACAAATGTAGAAGTCGAAAAGAATCATGGAGCCGCTGACTCCGCCGAGGCCACCAATGTCTAAGGACACGGTGTGGAAAGTTGAAGGTGAATTCTGACCAGAGCCCTTGGTCTGGTTGTGGAAGGGTCACAGGTGTGTGCTGATCTGGCCTTAAAGAGGGACAGCATCCGAATGGAAGCCCGGGCGGTGTCATTCCTGGAAAACTGGGTGGCAGAATCTAGGGAAAATATTTGCATTCAAAGACAAGGTGACGAAGTGGCCCAGTGATAGTGGCTTGGGTTAGGATGGGTTATGTGTGAAAGCAGAGAGGAACACTTGATTCTTTTCCCAGTGTGAAGGAAACCTGAAGGAGCAAGTGCCCTTGTCAGCGCTGCCACAGCTGGGGTTTGATTAGCAGCTCTGGGTGGCCCCCGGGACCTGCACTGGCTGCGGTGTGGCCGGCTCTGTCCTCCGATGCCTACGAAGGCTGCTGAATGCAAACCTTGCTTGCAAGCTGATGGCTCTGCTGTGTGATATTTCGGTTTTCTTGTTCTTTTCATACACAGAGTTCTAAAGTCAGTGCTCTTGGTAAACACTATATGACTATAATGACATCAAGGGACAAGACAGATGACTAATATTTTGGCAAATCATGGGGCGAAATTCTTAATAATCAATGAATGTTCTAAAATCAAATGCAAGTAGTGAAAATGTTTCTTTTAAACTCCGAAACAAAGGCAGAAGGTCTAGAATTACAAAAAGTGTTAATGGTTCTTGAGTTTATTTTGAATTCTTTGTTTTATATGAATATTATTTATATAATAGATAAGCAACATTGCAAATTGTCAAAATTTTAAAATCTGTATGATTTCTGTTACTATTCTTGTGTTGGAGTAGAGTTTGAGCTCAAAATTAAATCAGATTAGGAAATAATTTTTGTGGTATTTTGTAACATTTTGTGGTTATTTGTGTGCAGTTTTTCACACAGGCACACAGCTGTAATAGCTTTATGGTATTCTGCAGTGTTATTTTCTTTAGAATTCATTTTCCATGGATGCTTTCATGATAAACAAAACATGATTTCATAAAATGGTCCCATCTGGTAAGAAATATTCAAAGCACTGGATTCAATCCATTTTCCAAATGTTCTGTTTCAAGCAATTTCAAGTAAGTTAACTGTTTCCAATGTAATTATATTTTCTGGATAATGTGGATATATACCTGTAAATAATAGAACATAACTACTGTAATATTCTTTAATGATTTTATGAATAGTTTTTATTTCACTATTATCCAAAGATGCTTAAAACTCTATTATGTTTGTGAAAAATAAATGAGATGTTAAAATAGTTATATTATGTTAGATGCTTTAAAGAAGTTTCACTGTAGCTATACTTTTGTAAATACGATAGAATTTGCAAATATATTCCTTACATTTTAGTTAAATTCAACCTTTTATACTTAATCATCACATTAATGTTATGAATTGGAGGGCTTCATTTTAAAGATGGATATATTTAATATTTATAGTACGGCTCTTATTAAATTCCTTCTATATTAGAAATAAAAGATTGGTGTTGAACTGCAGTTTTGGAATTATGAAAAAGAGTGAAACAATAAGAAATAGAATTAGTGGAAGAGAGGTTAGGAAATCGATAAAAATGTGTAACTGTAAAATATTGAAGAATTTATTTTGTTGCTGGATTCAACATAACTAAGAAGCTTTTTTAAAAAAAATTTTATTTAAGAGGAAAAAGAGAAAAACACAAAACAAAACAAAGCGGTGTAAGGGTACACGTAATACAGAACTACAAAAAAAAAAACATAACAGTAAGAAATCACCTGTTAATAGATTACATATTATCGTCTTGGAAATAGTTGCTCAAATCACAGTATCAAAGAATACAAAGTGGACTTCAAACAGAGAGACTGCAAACAGCTGCGTTCAATGATCCAAAAACATTAATATAGTCAGCCATTTAACACCCTCAAACACACTTGCTGTTATATCCGTTAGAGCTCTTTTTTTTTCCCCTCTCTTTTTTACAACAAAATTTACACATTTTGGATTTTATTACTCCTTAGTTCTTATTACTTTTTTGGGGGGGAGAGAATACAGTCAAATATGGCAAAACAAAGCTGTCAGTCAAAACCAAGGATAGACATAGCACATGATGTAGAACAGAGTACAAGGTTATCAACAATGGTTATCAACGTTGTCTCTTGTTTCCAACTAAGAAGCTTTTTGTCTTTAACACAGCAGTTGCTTTCCTTCAGGTATCAGCAGAAAACTGTAGTTAAGCTTTTATCCCCTTGCAGAAGTCGTTACCTGCAGGGAGTGTGCAGACTGCTTTCCGCTGTGATATATGGAATGGGTGTGAAGTTATGACTCTGTTAGCATATGTCTGATCCAATTAACTGCGTCAGTTTACTAAAAGTAACTTTTCATGTATTGCTTTAAATGTTGAAATAAAGAAATAAAGAAAATTCAGGAAATTCAAGGAATTGTCTGCATTTTAGTCATGCTTTTCTTCCTGCTTGTACCTGAACCCTAGTAAAACTGTCCCAACCAGACGTTTCTTTTGAATTTCAAGTCTTGTGTCTTGATGGAACATGTTGACTTGGGTCTCATCAGTGGATTAAATCCAGAGTATCTCAAGTGGGACCTGTCCTTCAGCACCCTACCCTACCCTGCTCACCTCCACTCTGTGTCAGTCATGATTCTAACATTCACATTCCCCAGAAGCCTTATGCCTTGGAGTCCTCCTTGACTCTTGTGTATTTTTCCTCACACACCAATTAATTCTTTCATTTTGTCCTAATTCCTAGACATTCATGAGTCAAAGCATTGGTTTCTATCTCCATCATCCATGTATGATTGTCTCAGAGATCCGTATCATCTCTAGAGAGGATTAATATAGTGTCTTCCTATCTTCTCATTGGTCTTTCTGTATCTTGATAACTCCTAAAGCATTCCAGCTTTTGCCCAGTAGCCAGAGTGATTTTTCAAAAATTCAGATTTTGCCAAAGCACTCTTCCAGTTTAAACTCATCAGAGTCTCCTTATAATTCTTATAAGAAGATCAAAACATTTTTACAACTTGGAAAGCTGCTCAGCCCTGGACTGTACCTATATATTATATCCCATAGATATTCGCTTTTCCTCCACTGCCTACTAGTAGATTTTAAGCATCATCAGGGCAGGGGACAGAATCCATCACAGCCATTGTGGAGTCACAGGTGCTTGCTGTGGGTGTCACCAAGTTAATAGTAAGTAAACATCAAGGAAAATGAGACTACTAAAGCCAAGATCTGCAGATAGACCTCACAGTTGTAATCTATGTTATACACTTATCTCATTTTATTAAGCATTTTCTAGGGAAATAGAATTCTTAAGAGGCTTATTTGGGATCTTCATATTTTTGAAGGTCACTAAAGGTAGATATTTGCATATATAGACAGGGCTGAATATGTAGATTTCATGTGTGGATCAGTCAAAATTATCTATGACTTTGTGACCAGGGGAGAATTGAGACTCAGATAGCTAGAGAAGTCATTGTAAATGCCTTTAAACAATGCAGTGGAGGAGGGAGAAAGAGAATTCTAGGGGCACACTTAGCCAAAATCCATCAGCTAAAATAACCTGCAGTGATGTCTGGAGTGCATCAGGCTTGAGCACGTGGAGGGACGTGACAACAAGGTCTAGGGGAGCAGAGAAAAATGATTTATGTTCTTTGAAGTAGTAAGAAAGAGTGGGCACTGAGTAATCAGTTTCTGCCAAATTTTGCAGGGAAAATAATTTATTGGAAATAAAAACTTCCTATTTACAAAGACAACCCCATTTAAAAAGTTGCCTCGGTAGTTTTTGTCAAAGGTACATAAATCCTCACAAAAGTATAGATAAGCAACTTATTACCTCAAAACTGGACAGAGTTAAATGAATCTGGTTTGTATCCAAGGTAAGGATTTTATATTTACTTTCTGTTATTTAATTTAAAAGCTCAAGATTAGATGTAGTCAATCCTTGCCTTTGAGGGCTTAGATGAATAATATTCATAATTGTATTATTAAAATACAATATAAGGTAGATAGCTATAGTCATAAGTATTAGGCTCATGTTTTAAAGGGTGGGCCCCAAGAGCTACTTTTAAGTAGACATAATGAGAAATTGCCTTGAAAATTTGGAAGTATTATTTTGGAATGAGGTGATTTTTTTTATGCCAAACATTTAAATGTAAACCTGAGTTTTACAAACTGTTCTAATTCTTTGTCCTAATACAGTTACCATTTGCTATAGTTTGAATGCATCTCCTCCAAAATTCAGTTTGAAATTTAATGGACAATGTGGTAGTGTTAAAGAGTGGGGCATTATGAGCTGAGCAGGTAATAAGGGCTTCTCCCCTCCTGAATGAGACTAAGGCCCTGTAAAACAGGGTTCATGCAGCACTCAGAGTTTGGTTCCTGTGCCCTTGCATCTCCAACGCAGGAGGGCACAGCGTCCTTTCTCTATGGAGGAGGTAACTATGAGGCGCCATCTTGGAATCAGTGATCTGCCCTCAGTAGGTAACTGGATCTTAATCCTGGACATTCCAGCCTCCAGAACCATGCCAAATTCCTTTCTTCCTCCCTCCCTTCCTTGCTTCCTTCCTTTTTATCCTTCCTTCCTTCCTTCCTTCCTCTGTCTTTTTCTCATGTACAACCTAGTCCTAGATATTTTGATACAGCAGCACAAAAGTAAGATTCTTACTAAGTATGTTTTGTCCACCATAAATGTGTCTTAAGGAGAGTTACGTGACTGCCTTTTCACAGAAAACTCGTGGTGTAAAATGATCACCCCAAGGCACGGCAATCCAGGGAATGGATATGCATCGGGGGCTGTTAAAAACTGAGCCTGGAGGGTCTCAGGCACAGACAAATTGAAGAGAGCAGAGTTTTAGAGAGGACATAAAATTAAGTGTCAGAATCTGGACAGGAAGTGAATATTTAATGCAAAGTAAAGATTTCTTGACCAAAACAGAAAAATGCTGGTGTGGATTGTGTCTGGTTAGGACACCCACACTCAACATGTGGGATGTGAGTTGTATCTGTACCCTTTCAGCATTAAGTGCGATACCCGTGAAGGATACTTTATAGATGCTTTTCAGTAGATACAGGGAGCTACTTTCTGCTTTTAATTTGTTTTAAACACATGAATGGATTTTGAATTTTCTTTAACAGTTTTCCATACCTGAAATGTTTTTCTCCTTTGTTTTGTTAGTGTTATGAATTCCATTGATTTAAAAGTATTAAATCAACCTTGCGTTCCTGATGTAGATCTCATGTAGTTATGCTGTATTACTTTTTAAAAATACATTCTGCAAGTATTTTGCCAACATTTTGTGGGCAGTTTTTGTGTTGATGTTCATGGAGAACATTGGCCTAGATAACGTTTTTCTTGTAAACTCACTGTCAAATTTGGGTTGATCAGTATGTTGATGGTTGAATAAAAGAAAACATATTTGGTGGTATTTTCTCCTATTTTATATTGTAGAAGAGTTTATATAACATTAGCATAAGTTTTTAAATGCTTATGGAATTCACTGATGAATCATCTGAGTTCAGGGTTTTATTTTTTTGAATTACAAATTCAATATTGGTAATAAATATTGTGATGTTCATATTTTTTCTTTTAACCTGATTTTGGCATGTTGTCTTTCAAAGATTGTGTTTGTTTCATTTAAGCTGTCAAACATTATGTCATTACATTGATTATGATATGCTTTCAAAATTTAATTATATATATATTTATATAATTTCTTTTATTTTTGGCATTCATATTCTGTTTCCCTTCCTTTTTTCATTTCTACCAAAGATTAACAATTTTATTTATCTTTTAACAAGCCCAACTTTGGGGTTTGCAACTTTCTCAGTTGTTTTTATATTTTCTATTTTACTTCATTCTGTCATTATTTACTTTATTTATTTTGGCTTTGATTGTCAAAATGTTCATCTTCTCAAAGTTGAATATTTCATCAATTGCTTTATATCTTTTCTAATGTGAGCCTTTAGATTTATCATTTCCCTTAAATCTTTTTTCAGGTATAATTCTTTAATTTTTGATATATAGTATTTTTACTGTTTTTCAGTTAGATCATTTTTTGTTTTCTTATGATTTCTTACTTGACTTACTTGACAAGGTGTTATTAATTTTTTTAAATATTTGAAAATTTTCTAGACATACTATTGATGTAGAGTCTAGTAAAATACCTTAATTATCAGAAAATATATTCTGATAGTTTTTCATAGCAATATAAAATTCTTTTTCTATGTACACAACTGTATCCTTTGTTAATAGTTCATGGCACCAACCAGTACAAAAGTGGAATAAAAAGGGAAGGAAGGAAGTCTCATTGCCTCCTGCCTGCAACACAGTGAACTATTTCTCCTCAGTGATGGCCCTCTAACAAGCTTCTCTATCTTGGAGCCAGCCAACGATGGATTGAAACCGCTATAAACTATGAGTTAAAATAAGTGTTGTAAAATTTGTTGCAGTGACAAGAAAATAACTAAAACATAATCCAATGTAAGAAATAATATGAATTAAAAAATAAGTGACAAAGAAAAGAAAAAATATAGAAAAAACAGAAAGGAAATAACAAGATAATGTACATTTAACCTCATTAGTTATTGAATTAAATGTAAATAGCCTAATAAATACCTTAATTCAGAAGACAGAGATTGTTAGAGTGGTTATAAAAGGAAGATCTAATTTACAACATTAAATTATTTTATATACAGAGATAATTTTACATATGGAAGTTATAATTATGATCTATAATAAAATGACAAAATTCATTAATATACAAACAATATGTGACAGTCAAAATTAGCAGAGGGCACCAGGTAAAGTGGGAGAAATTGTACACATACTTATTTGTTAATTTATTTCTGGAATAGTACCTGAGACACTGTCAAAGTTTGCTAAATAAACTTACACTGTTTAACTACATTAAATATATATGGACAAGAAAAGAACAAACACAATAAAAATTTTGTGCTTATAATACTGTCTGATGTATTTTAGGTTGCTGATGTTTAGAACCTGTTCCCATAGGTTCTGACTTTGATTCTTGTCTGGCTTTAGTAACTTTCTCTACACATTAATGACTGGTAATTTGCACCTGGACATTGTATTTGTATAATGTTAAAACTTAGCACTGTAATTTAACAATAATTAAATGAGATGATGGGAAAAGGTGGAATGTACTAATTAAGTTGTCCTTAAAAAAACCCTACAAGTTAATATCCTTCATGAGTGTGGAAGAAAACAGCCAAAACAAAACTTTGGTGTAAAACTTTGTAATCTATTTTAAAAAACACACCCAGACCCAGTGGGATGAGTTTTAGAAAAGTAGCAAGTGTGTTTACTATATTAACAAACACAAAAAAGAAACATTATCAATAGGCACATGAAAAGCATTGGACAAATCATAAGAAATTCCTGACTAAAAAATCAGCACTAC